TTTTTTCCTTTAGGGCACTTAGGAAGGTCACTTTTTTGTATTAGCCTTTTCCTAAGTAACCTCAGGGTGTTTCATCTACATTTAAATCATTGGAGTTTTGAGTACAGGTTTTATTCTTTTTCCCTTTAAATTTGTTCAGCACAGAGCTCTCTGCTTCAGCCCTTCAGGACATCTCAAACTTCTTGGGTCAAGGAAGGATTTTGCTGGAACTGAGTTTTGGGCATTTGAGCATTTGGGCATTTCTGAGGTGCTCTGTGCTATTAGACCAAAAGATAGTTAGCAGCCTCATCCTTGTTCTAAGGACATGCTTTCAATGGAATTACCCTAAGCTATCATATCTTCACACAGCTTTTGCCATTATATTAAATTGATGGACTTTTCAGGAACTTTCCCTCAAGGTTCTTCCTTCAAAATGTTTGATGCTTCCCATGACTCAGATGAGATTTAAAGCAGCAGACCTAATTTCAGTAGCGAGGTTTCATTGTATAAAATTTCATGGAGCTGTGTGTCTTTCATTCGAGAGCTCTTGCTCTTTTAGATTAGAGACAGAAATATTTAAAGTTGTTATGAATATTTAGAGCTATTTATGTTTTTCATAACAGAAATGCAAGTCTTGTTTTGTGCACACAGGAATGAAAGCAGGAGGAAAAGGGTGCACTTTCTAGACTAAGGGGATGGTTTAGGGCAGAAAGAAGCAAACACTGTTTTCTGCACTCCTGCCTATGCTGCCCCCTGGGAAAATCCCCCTGGAGTAATCTGTCTCTAGAATCACCTATAAATTTGCCTTGAATATTTTTATTTGTTACAGATGAGGAAAGAGTTAACAAGTCTCTGGTAAGTTTAGGGACCAATGCTTGAGTTAACTCACTTGTCATCTTTAATTTAGTAGTCAGTCAAGATGAATAGGAAATCAAATAATGCAATAGTAAATAAATATTATTGGTGGTTTTGAGCTTTCTTTCCCATGCCAAAGGCTTTAACTAACCCAGCAACAAGTAAAGCTTTTTATGCTCTATTCTCTAAAGCATGAACCCTGACTCTTGCCCAGAATTTAAACTGCAGACACTCCATGTAAATGCATGAGATTAAGGGCTTGGCCTAAATCTTGCACCTATTTTCTTTCTGTCTTTTCAGAATGGACAGAACGGATAGTTGCTGCTTCCTATTTTAAAACCCCCAGACCTAACTGCATCCTTGGCACTAATGTTACTATTTTTTGTGTATCATTATCATCCTGCTGTAAAACAGAATATAATGCCTAATCCCAATTGTTTTTTTCCTGATTTTTGGACCTTTTTGGAATTCTTGAATTTCTGAAATATAACCAGAGTCCTAAACTTGCAACCTTGGGTAAAAATCTGCTAGAAGATTGCAATAACTAAGAATTCTTCTATTTATCTCTGGAAAATCTAAAGAATCTTATAGTATAATAGCGTTTTGTGTATTTAGATTTTTCCAATATTAACTATATTCCCACCCATAATCCTTACCCTAGCCTTGCCAGAGGATGACTAATGCAAAATGCAAACACAGTAAGCATCTTTATCAGAGTGAGCACTTCTGCTTACACTATATGCTGGGAACAACTCAAAAAAATAAGATTTTTAGACTTTATATTTCATAACTGAAACCCATAAACCTAAACTTAAATATAGAAAATGCATCAGTTTTGGTATAAAATTGAACATAAGGCTTCAAGCTACAGTTCTGATTTTAACCATCAACCCAAATCCTAAACCAAGAATTTACAGCAGACATTGGTTACTAATCACAAACACTGCTCCTGTCTAACGGAGAATCAAACAATGAGGAAAATCATGACCTAAAAGAGAATATAATTGAGTGTCCTGGATAGGCACAAGCCTTCTTATAATCATCTAAAGTGTTTGGAATTCAGAAATAAACAAAACACCCAAAAATTTGAATTTCCCAACCTTAATCCCAAAGTAATGCTAACTGCAATCGTACCCAAAGAAAGATTTTTTTTTTTAAATATATGTACATTAGATCTTACGAGTACCAGCCCCTTCTCCAATTTCTTTAGACCAGCTTCCTTTTTTCACTTTCTTTGGGTAGGAAAGAGGAAAAATTCTGCCTCAAAAGATTCAGTAGCATCTCATTTTCTTTGACAAATGCTGTTGCATTGACTTTTTCATGTCAAAGAGTGTGTTGAACAGAAACTTCATTACTGCCTGACAGCAATGATTGTGTGTGCTATTCTGAGCAATGGGGATAAAAAGCATTTAAAATGAGAGAGAAATCAATAATTGCAAGGCAGAGGGTTGCCTCCCTATTTGGCAAGGCCTGACTCCATTAAATACCCCCTTTTAAACAGCCATTTGTGGGTTGCAGTTTAAATTACTGTTACTTTTGCAGTGTAAAGTCATATTCAACCATTGGTTGCTTCTTGTTTCCTTTCAATCGATAATTTAAAAGCACTTTGAAAACCTTAATTGAGTCTCAGGGTTAAGCAGTTGTGATAATGAATGTTGTCACTTATAAGAAAGAAACCTGTTATGCCATGAGATCCTATAGCTACCTCAGATTCTTGTCTCTTTCATTTATATTTACTGCTTATCTATCTGTTTTTTGAGGTTTCAAGGGAAATGGTCACAGGAGAGAAAACTCTGATTATTTGAAAAATAGCCTTCTGATGGACCTGACGGAAGTCTTTCAGAAAGAGTGAGATAATATTAAGCAGTTTATACCATGCAGATAGGTTGTGCAAAGATTTTAAAGGAAGCTTCTTGCAAAAATCCTAGAAACATTCAGTATTGCCAGGTCAGATTGACCTTCTCTCATTTTTCACATTTTTGTTATGAATATTATTGCAAAAAACCCAAACAAAATCCAGGACTCCAATGCCACCTTTTGTTTGCACTGATAATTAAAACTAAGCATACTCACAGAAGATCTGTGAAGCTAGAGAAACTTCCAAGTTAGGCATCAATAAAAACATAATAGCAAAACAATCCATAAACTGACATGAAATGTGCAAGGGTCTCTTAGGTTGCTTTCACCTCAGTGAAGTTATTACATGGACATCACACAACAAGTTACTGAGAGAAAAAGAAATATTATTTGTATGTTCCCCAGTGAAAGGATAAATCCCAAGTATGGGTATAAATAATACTGAACATTAGTAGTATATTGATATGTCTTCTTTTATCTCCATAATCTACTATTCTTTTGACCATACATCATTTTCTTAAAGAGATACTGATTAGTGCCATCCTGATTTCCCAAAGTTTTCACATGTTGGTGTGTTAGAAAATATTCTTATCTTCAGACTGAGAAGAGTTGAAATAATGAGATTTTTATTCTTTTGATACAAGATTCCAGGTTTAGAAATGAACTTGAAGATTATGTGCTCTCAGCCATAGAAAGTAATTTGTCTTTTTGTGGAGCTCTATATGACAGAACTGTTTTTTTCAGTTAGGCAGACATCGAGAAGTCTGATTTCAAATATATGATAGCATAAATCCAGGTCGTGGGAATATCATGCCGACCAGCTGACACTTCATCTACTCCATTTTTCAAAGCATTTTCCAAACCACTTGGAGGTGGGTTTTGGCCACTATACCTCATGTCCACTTCTAAACTAAGAGTTAGAAAGGTTGAGGTTGGAAGGGGCCTCTAGATATTGGCCAATCCAACCTCCCCTGTTCAAGTAGGGTCACTGAGGACAGGCTGCCCAATACCATGTCCAGTCAGGTTTGAGTATCTTCACAGATACCAATACATATGAATGCCTAAAAATACTTTACCTATTGCACCTATTAACCCTCCAGGGAGGGTTACTCCAAGTATGGTGGGAACCATCACACTGGGTGTCTGGCTTGTGGGATGTGTGCATTATGGATGAGAGGAAATGCAAACACCGTCCCTTTCAAATAAAAACCTCATATGGGACGCTTTTCCCCTTATCCTCCTGCCTTCAAGCAGAAGTGTTTTTCCTTCAGGGGTACTGCAGTTTCTATCTGAGTCAGGCAGGACTCCGGAAAGTTTCCCTATGTGGTGTCTGCTCTGAGTGTGGTCTGATCCATGGGACAGGATCTAAGACTGAGACTCAAATCTGAGACTGCTGTCTGCACTCCTAGCAGGAGGGGTGTCGTGTGGGCCAGCACTGCACCAACCTTCCTTCCTTTTTCTGCTCCTGAGAAGGGTTTTTGTCCCCCTCTGTTGAGGTTACTTCAAGCAGTCACAAGGACCCGTGACTGTCCTTTGAAGGTCTTCTCATCCTCCTGGTGCAGGCTGTGGGAAGGACAGAAGGGGGCCAGAGGTTTTGGAGGCAGCCTGAGCCCAGGCTGAATTCAGGCAGACTGTAAGATGAAATGCAGGTACCAGGGGTCCTGGCATGAAGGTTCAGCCTCCCCAGCACAGCATCTTTGCAGCTCTTACCATCTGGACTTTCTTACACAGGCAGTTTCATCTGCCACCTGCTTCATGCCCCAGTTTCTCTTCTGAGGTTGATCCCATCTGGTTTTAGCTCCTTTTTTCTGCACTGTAGAGCACCACAACTCTCTAACCAGACACTATGAACATTTCTGCATAGACACCATCCATTCCCTTAGGAAGAGTAATATTATTTACAGTTAAAATGTTTTCTAATTCATTGAATCACCAAGGAATAGCAAATGTGGAAAATGATGAGCATCATTACTCTCCCACTAAAACCACACCTCCCTTTACCAGCTCTCATTTACAGCTTTGAAAATATTAAAGTTTAAGTTGACCCTGCAGAGATAAGTGCATGGTAGTATTGTGCTTATGCAGATATCAGTGTTATGTTAATGGCCCAGTACAACAAAAAGCTGATTGACATTTTCATTGCTGTATTCATGGCTGTTTATTAACATAGAATGAGGCAGTCCAGGAGCAATGAACAACATCCTTTTCTCACAGCCACTCTTTCTGAGCACTCAGCCACCTGCTGGCTTGTCTACCTGCGATAATCACTCCTTCTCCCTGCCAAATTTTGTGCTGCACCATGCATGACATTTCAAATTATTTGATGGACTAATTTGCATTTTTCAAATAGTTTCACATGCCAATTAATTTCAGTCTATGGTTAATCTGCCCTTCCACAAGCAGCATTATGGAAAGACACTGATAAACGTCAAACTTTGCCTGTTCTGAGTACATCAGAGAGGGAGGCCAGGGCTGCTGGGGTAAGTCCATGGGTAAGGGGGTTGGAGAGGCATGCATGAGGGGTGTCTGAACTAGACTGTGATTAGGGTCTAGCAGGGTATTCAGGAGTGTTATGCTTTGTGTGCATGGCTGTCAGGCAGCAGGGCAGGACAGGAGCATGCTGTAACTGTGATGTGCTCTTTTCTATGGTGCTGGTGTGCACGAGAGAGATGAGGCAGCAGCCCGGATTTTCAGGCAGTAGAAACCAGGAGGTTTGCTTCCCCCCCTAGCCAAGCCTTTGTCAAACCCATCCCTTTTACCTGTCCTGTCCACCTCTCAGCTGCTGCCTTGACTGGTGCCTGAGTCCCATCAAAGGCAGCAAAGGGCAGGTGGGGGATCAGCAGACGGGTGTCCAGATGTAGCAGCTTCTGTCAGGAGCTGAACAAAAAATAAAGGCCATACAGCCTGAAGCATAACATTCCTGTCCCTAGACCTTACTTCAAATTAAACAAATAGTAAGTGAGAAAAGCAGAAAGACATCCCTCCCCCATTTTTCAATGTCATTTATACGATGGAACTGTAGATACTCAAATCTGTATGAACTGAACAGCTCTGAGGTAAGCTGTTATGAAGATATGTCCTCCTTCATAAGGAATACTTCCAAATGATGCAATTAACCCTTCTTATTATGAGTTTTCAACAGACTGAAATAGTAAATTGCACATCCAGGATGCAGGAAAAACTTCCCAAAAATGTTACAAGGGATTTGCAATGGGAAATACAATTATTAATGCACAAAATACTGCATGTCTCCAACATCTACAAAATCTTTGGGGAAGTTGTTGCTGTCTTTATTTTCAGTGATTATAAACCTGCTCTCTACAAATTTTCCAGGTTACCTAAATGCCTATTTTTATCCACTGTGTTAAAATGTCTGGCTAAAAATTAAGGACATATTATCAAGGTTGGCAGATTCAAAGTATGACGTATTTTCCTTGTGGAATGCACTTCAAAGTCCTTGCACAAGCTATACTGATTGATTTTTATCAAGAACAATAAATTAATTTTTTTATTTCATCAGTCTTTCTGAAAAAGAAGAAATGCTTGTTTGTGTGATGGAAAAGGAACTGTTTTATGAAAAAAATTAGTTTATTAGTAGTTTTCCACATGTTCATTAGAGAAAAATGCCATAAACACAATCTACCATAAAGTTCTGAGAAAGTATCGACCTTGTCCTCTTTCATTTTTCTTGGTTTTAAAAAATAATTCAGCTGCACTTATTGACATTTCTACACTGAGAGAAGTGGATATGTGAGGGTCCTTTGTTTACACTGGGGTTTTTTGTCAGATACCCTATGCAAATAGTTAGTGGTTCTGACCACTTGTAATATCTAACAACTCCATACATCAGAAGAGTGCCTGGAATCTTGAGCAATCATATCTGTAGCAATTTATAGCAATCTCCAGCAGTGAATTAAATCATGATAAAATTTTTTATTAGCTTAATTTAGAGAAAAGCTGGAATCCCTCAGAAACATACACAGTACTGCAGGTTAGAAAAAGGAATTAAACATCATGTGTTGTGTTTTAGGCTTTCAGGAGTGAGGCAAGGAGAAACCCAACTGTTCATAAATTGATCTGCTTCTATGAGACTAGTTTATCTCTCATAAAAATGTGAAGCCTAAAGAGAAATCTCTTAAGGTATTGGATTAGGGCCAGTAGCCTCTAAGTAACATTTACAAGAAGCTGTCACCAAAATGTGACTTCTACCAATATCCTGAAGCCCCTTTAATTCATATGAAGTCCCAACAGCAATTGCAAAAATTAATGTTCATATAAAGTATACAAGGACTTGGAGTGATGCCCATGGTATTTTTCTGGATTTCACATTCTTCATGGTTTTTTTGAGAGGAATGAAAGTCACGAGATTCAAACGTATGATACATATACTCATTTGGAATATGAATGATGTTTACAAAATGTTCTTCTTACTAACAGAATAAACAGCCCTATTTAATGCCAAAGGAAATCACTCTAATGACCTTTCCTGAGCTGCAGGAACCTGGGTCTTCTCCATCCCATCAGATATTATAGCATTTTTCTGTAATTATGCATGAGGAATATGCAAATGCGACTACTGTATGAAAGAAAAGGGAATATATGCTAAACAAAGCTATTGAAAACATTTCTGCTTAATGCTACCAGAAAACTGTTAGGCTTTGGGGATAAGAGTAATAAATTGTGTTTGTTTCCTAGGCACTCACAGTGCCACACTGATGTAATCACAGAGCCCTTTAAAATCTGTAATGTATTCATCCTTGCAACAATTCAGTGAGGAAAGAAAATCATCTTCCTAATTTCATACTGAATGGAAGTACAGAGAAACGCCATTATTTACACAGAGTCATGTGAGAACACTGTGTCTCAAAAAGATTCAAAGAGCAGTCTGGTTGCTCTGCCATCTTCCTTCCCTTATCAAGAAAACCACACTTCTTTTTCCAGTCAGTGATAGATTAATAGAATGCAAGCACAGACAGCGAGCCTTACACAGAGAACAGACCAAGGAAACTGAGGGATTTAATTTTTTAGAAATTCTTCCCAAGGCTTCTTTGAGATTTTTGGGACCTTTTGCAATCTCTGGGATTGCCCACTAGCATTGCTAAAACCACTGTCCCTCTAGTGTTTTGCAAATTATATGATGAAGCTATCTGTACAACAGCAATCAGCCTCTCCTGTTAGGGACTCATATTTTCCCAAAGCTGCTGAAACTTTGGCAGGAGCAGAGAGGGTGCAAAGGAATGAGGCTCAAAGACAAAAACATGAATGTGAGTAGAAGGCTTGAAGACTGGAGTACTGGGCAAAACTGGGAACAAACAGACCAATTATAGGAGAGTTAAAAATCAGAATAGCTAGGGACAAAGCAGCAGAAAAAATGAAGCAGCAGAGGAATGGTTCAGTGCAGAGGAAACCCTTGAGACAGCAAGACCCTTCTGCCAGGAGCAGGGAAAGATCCCAAGGAAGTAGGAAAAAAAACAGGCAAAAATGGGCTAAGTCCAGGCTATTAATGGATAGAAGAGCCCTCATTGAGTATGAATGGAGAAAAGGAGGTTAGTATTGAAAACTTCTTTGATGGCAGGAGGTTGGTCAGATAAAGGAGCCTTCCAGAAGGCAGGAATGTCCTCTTGTCCTGTTGCTGATTGCATGTGAAGAGAAACTCAGCTGGCTACAGCCTCCTTTCAGGCAGTTGTAGAGAGTGATAAGGTTACCCCTGAGCCTCCTTTTCTCCAGGCTAAAGATGCCCAGTTCCCACAGCCATGCCTCACAAGACTTGTGCTCCAAGTATTCCCCAGTTCCATTACCCTTCTCTGGACCTGCTCCAGCACCTCCATGTCCTTCTTGCAGTGCAGGGGCCCAGAACTGGACAGGACTCAAGGTGTGGCCTCACCAGTGCTGAGTACAGGGAGACAATCTCTTCCCTGGTCTTGTTGGCCACGTTATTCTTGATACAAACCAGGATATGACAGGCCTTCTCTTTCCTGCTTTTAAGCAGTTCTCTTAATTTGCCATTCATATTCCTCTTTTTTTCTGTACTGTAAGATACCTTCAAAATGCCTTGGAGACTTCTCAGCTTTCTTAAGCTCATACTAAGCCACTGCACACATCATTTATTCTGCTCTTCTCATATAATTCAAGCTCTATATTAAAGACATCTGTGGAATACCTTTGTAGAATGGCAAATATCATTGGCACCTCTGTGTTTGCATTTATTTGCATTTAATATATGAAGGATGGTAGAAGTAAAGTTAATCCTTAATATGTGTGTACCTATGTCTTTTTTAATAACTAACCACAAGTGCTGCCCATCCTCCAGTACCTCTTCCCAATTTGCATGTGTTATGATTAGGTTTAATTTAAACCCAACAGAATCATCCTGCTGAGGTTTATATCCATACTTTGGAGACAGAAAACAATTTTTACTGGTTTTAAAGTATCACATTTCTAGTCAGCCTCAGAGTTGTATGGACTTCTCAGATCTTCTGCCAATATTATTAGTATATGTTCAACGTGCACCTAATGAACATTTTTAGTGCAGCTGTCTTACCATAAGCAGCTGTGGGTATGGCACTGCACTTCTGGAAACTAGATATGTGTATTTTCTACCCTTGTTCATCACCATCCACAGCAAGACTGTATCTCTCTTTTTTTTTTTTTTAGTATCTTCTACAGTTTTTTTCAGGAATATGACATGAATTTTCATCCCTTTCTATGAAAAAAAGAAACCAAACCCAGTCTGATGTATCTGTTTCCTAGAAATAGCTGTATACACAGTGCTGAACTTTATACTTAATTGATGCAAAAAGTCAATATTGTAGCCTCATTTCTACAAAACTTTAGTATCATGAACAAAACAGTTGCAAACAAACAGATCTAACTAGAAACCTGGTATTTCTAATCCTGTTTTCTTAACAGCACATGGGAATGTATCCACAAGAGATATGTAGATGGTTGCCTGTGTGGATGGAGCAGTGAGATACTTATCAGGGAAATATCTGATATTTCAAGTTCTCCCTCTTTTGCTATGGGGCAAGAATAGAGAGATTAACTATTTATATGAGTATAGCCCTAAGAATAGTTTGGTTTTTTTTTTTAATATGGCTATAGCTAATATTTGAGAGTTAGGATTTTTATCCCTTGGAAGAACCCTACCTTCTCACCCTTTAATGAGGCAATAAATTGGTTTGAAGGGGTTCTTACCTCAACAAGTTTCCCATTATCTCTATGAACAGCGGCAAACCAGAGCCTGAGTGCACTGATCATCAGCAGTGATTGTGAAACAGCCCAGGAGCCTTTAGAAATACGGATCTAAGGAGCAAATTCATCTGTTCTGTGCTTCCACTGCAGTTGGTGATTATTATAAAAAAAAGTTATTTGATCTTTGATTCCAACACAAGCTGTACCTAGGCACGAGGATTTTTGGAGAAATGCTGTTCCACTTCTTCGCCCTGCTGTTTCCTTATTGATTGAAAAATACTTTTTGAAAGTATCACTTTCCCAATATATTGTGTCTTCAACAAACCCTATGCAATCTTTGCAGAAGTTTAGTGTTTTAGCTAGTGAGACATGAATCCCTAAATGAAAAAAAAAAAAACAAAAACCTAAAACAAAACAACAAACGAAGCAAACCAAATACAACACTGAAAAATTGAGTCCTGTGCGCAGGTTTGGACACCACAATATAGAAAAGACCTTAAGACATTGGGAAACAATGAGGGGAAGCTGTTTAGCTGAGGTCACTTGGTCTGTTGGGCCTGGAGGAGACCAAAGGGAAACCTTATCAACAGTCTTCAACTTTCATTGTGAGGCAAAGAGGAGGGGCAGGCACTGATCTCTTCAGTCTGGGGACCAGTGATAGGACCTGAGACAATGGCCTGAAGCTGTGTCATAGGAGGGTTAGGCTGGATATTAGAAAGATGCTCCTCACCCCGAGGATGGCTGGGCGCTGGAACAGGCTCCCTAGGGAAATATGCACAGCAGCAAGCCTGACAGAATCCAAACAAGTGTTTGGACAATGCTCCCAGCACATGATGTGACTCTTAGGGCGTTGTACACAGGGTCAGGAGTTGGACTTGATGATCCTTGAGGGTCCCTTCCAACTCAGCTTATTTTGTGAGTCTCTGACTCTGTTATGAATGTCTCTCATGTCTTTGTCAGTGCCTTTAATGAACTCACAATGCTGGACTCACCCTGTGTGCACAGAGCTAAGTCTGGGAGTGCCATTAAGTGATAAACTAGGACCTGGCCTGGCAGCCTTGCTCCATGCAGGCCTGTGCTATGTGCACATAGGTCCCTCTGACAATAGGAAATTTCTGCCTGGTTGTTCATGGTCAATTGCAGGACTTGTAATAGTTCTGATCTTTCCACATCTTAATTTCTATTCTGAGGAGTAAAAAAAATATAAAGGTATTTCTTGCCTTGATAACTGACACCAGAACACTTAGGTAAGATTATGTTTTGGGGAGTGTGCATGATCATGTATTCAATCACTGCTTGAGATATCTCCAAGCATCTGGGTGCTACCAGCATGGAAGTCAATAGCAATTAAATAATTCAGTAAGACAAAACAGCAAGTGCGTAATGGTAGGCAATATTCTCAAATGGAAAAAACTTGTAATTATTTGTTTTGCTTTATTACACTGCAAAACAGTCCTGCATTTGCTACTTTCTGATTGACATGAAATTGTTTACTGAGTGCAAATTGAAATTAATTGTTTAAGTCCTACATACAAAAAACACACCGGAACACATTTTGCAAGGGCCTTTGCCTACACTTTATCATGTGCAAATATTTAGAAACCTGATCACAGTTTTGGATCATCTGGTAACCTCTGTCTCAGCCTCTTAATTATATCCTTTTTTCCTGCCCTTTAGAACAAATGTGGAAATATAGAATTGAGCCATAAGCATTGGAAATGTCCTCTAATATCTTTGAGGCCTGCCACCAACTCAGCCCCACTAAACTATGTCCCCATGTGCCACATCTACATGCCTTTTGAACATTTCCGGGGTGATATACCCATCAACAAATACCAGGTTAAATAACCATACAATTTACATTTGATTTTTTCCCATAATCTTGCCATCTCCATGGAGCTAGTGGCAGCTGACAGCATGATTAGTAGGTTTTGCACAGTTTTAATTAGCACCAAGTATATTTTAATAGATAAGTCAGAAGCAATCTGGAAATGTTTGTTGATAAAGATAATTGAGAATATAAATTCAAGCATGAATAGAGAGAACATGTGATTATCAGAAGTATGTTTCACGTACTCAGTTTTAAATTATTCCATGCACTCTTGTAAAACTAATCACAAACAAACATTGCCCAGACTGAAGCTGCTCAAATGATCTGTGACTCCAGAGTATTTACGATACAGCTCACCTTCTAGCTGAGGAAATGTCATTGAAAATAGCAAGTGAAGCTGAAAGCTTAATAGTTTTCATATACCGGTAGTATTAATTTCCAATGTTTTCCCACTATTTTCTTTTCAAGTGATACAATCCCTCCTTCATCCTTTTTAGTCTTCCTGTGCATTTTCAGTTCTTGCAGGGAAGAGCAGTTATGACTCCTTGTTTTTCTGTGATGCTGGTTTTGGCTCACAGAGCTTGGCAGCATTTGCAGTGCACTGCTTCTGAGGGCACTGTTAGTCCTGAGAGTGTTATTTTGGTTGGGATGTGACAGGGCAGGATGCTGATTCCCTGCTCAGTCCTGAATTTCACAAAACACAGGATCTTCCTTCTGCAGTCTTTCACATCTGCTATCTGCCAATAGACATCTCTAAACAGCCTCCTTCTGCAGGCAAGGACACCAGTAAGTTCCACTTACAAGACTACTTCCAGATCAATGACTTACTGTCACAGACACAGATGGCATTCTTTTCACAAATGCAGTAATTGTTTTACTGAGTGACTGGACAGAAGTGGCAACCAACAAATACATTGCTAAGCCAGCAAACCCTGAGCCAATTTGTTTGAAAAAGTGGAAGAAAACTGAGTTATAACTGGAATTTCCCCCCAGTTTAAGCAAGGGGTTAAACTAGAAAACAAAGTTATTTTCATTGCTACTTATTTTGTGTTCCTCTCTTTTGGCAGCTAGGTAACTTCAGTTCCCAAAGGCAATGTGTGCCCAGCAGCCTTACTTTCATTTGGCTGTACAACAATCTCTGGTCACCTCAGAGGCAGAATCATGTTTATAACAAAATAAGTAGTTAAGCCTTCTAATAAAGATTCTGGATTAGGTTTAGAGAGTTGGTATGTGTCACTTTTGGGGACTCTATCCAAACTTTTGATGGACTGATGCCTTAAGCAATTTATTCCCTTTTACTTGTTTTAATCTTTTGAACCACACAATCTTTTTCAACACTGATTATCTCATACCCTCTAATTTCAATACAATATAAAAAAGAAAATTGGGCAGTTTTCCCCTCCCTGAATTAAAACAACTCACAAAACAAATCTAATTGTGGAGCAATACATCAATGGTTGCTACCAAGCTCAGAACACAAGGAATGATCTATATAAATTTTGTGACTTGCTTGTTTTCTTCTAGTTTGCTTTTTGTTTATTTTAATTTATTCAGAATTCTTAAATGTCAAGTTGAAGAAACTGAATTTACACGGGTGCCAAAAAAAGAAGGAAAAAGTCTTATGGTTAGGATGTGGTTTTTGCCATTGTGTAATAAGTTGACTAATGATCCCTTCAATAACACTACTTCCAGTTGATCTTTCAGACCTGCTTCCATGTGTGGACTCTGGCTTGATGCTTCTTTCACTTACACGACTGCAAAGCAGCACAGATATCTGTAAAGTCAATGAAAATCTGAAAGTCTCAAAGTGAGATTAAAAGTAAAATCATTCCCTTATTCTTGGCAATGTATTTGTTTAAATACCCTGGAGAAAAGCCACGAGACATTTCACACTCTAACAAGCCTGTTATTAATACAGATCCTGAGGCTGTTGATACCTCAGTAAAGTATTTTTAGCTGTTTATAGCACCAGCATAATTTCATTTGAGAAGAAAGAATGTTCTAGTCTCAGTAAATATATTGGTTTATTGTGATCTGTTTTCATATATTTACAGGAACTGCAAAATGGAAAACCTTCCTAGAGGAAAAATAGAAAACTAAGAAATGAGCTTTCTAAAATCACCAATCAAAATGAAAAACAGCTTCAGCGAAGGAGGATGAGAGCAGGTATTTATTATATAACATTTTTGTCTGACTTATGAAGTGACATTGCGGATCTATAATATTTTTTCAATTTCTTTTCCAGTCAGAGCTCAAGTTTGCTGGGGACATAGATCTTCCTTTCCCTCTCATAAAATACAAAAGAGGGTGGACTCAAATGTCCATCTTTGTAATTGCAACTGGACAGGAATTTTTTTTTGATCACTCAGCTGGTGGGTGACCATCGTCAGCAGTTTAGCAGGCAGAATGTTGATGGGGAGGGGAGGATGGGCAAAAAGGCAGACTGTCCCCAAAAGACCTTTCTCCTCATCTCTTTGTGGCACTGAGTGGCAAAGGAGCTTGTGCTCTTGCCAGGGAGAAAGAGCAAGGGGACAAACCAAGTATGTGCCCTGAGCCAGAGAGGGGCAGCTAGCTGGAAGCCAGAGCAGAGGCAGCAGGGACACAAGCAGCATAAGGGATGCATTGGTACATAAATTAATGTATTTTAGAGAGGATTTAATTACCAGGGAGCTTTGCTCTGAAGAGAAGACTCAAAATGGATAGAAGGTCATTTTAACCAGTGAAATGGTTAAAAAATTAAGTGAAACTATTAATCAGAACTCCTTTGACTTTTAATGGGAGTAGCTACCTAGGAATTTTGAAAAATAGGGACATTTTGAAAAATGTTCACTTGGTGATCATTTGCATCTGAATTAAATGGGTTTCTTTCCTCTGTGGCTGATGCCAATAAAGATCAATAGAGATATCTGGAGATGTCAACTGAGGCATTTACATAGAAGCAATTGCAGCACCTTCCAGCACCTAAAGGGGAGTTATGAGAGGGCTGGAGAGGAACTTTTTACTATGTCATGCAGTGAGAGGACAAGGGGTAGTGGCTTCAAACTGAAAGAGAGTAGATTGGATATTAGGAAGAAATTACATGATGTGATGGTGTTGTGTCAAAGGAACAAGTTGTCCAGAGAAGCTGGGGATGCCCAATCCCTGGAATCATCCAAAGTCAACTGGATAAGTCTTTGAGCAACCTGGTCCAGTGGAAGGTGTCCCTGTCCATTTCAGGGGGTGGAACTAGAAGATTTTAAAGGTCTCTTCTTACCTAAACCATTGTATGATTCTGTAAATGCATAGTCAGTGCACCTGTTAACAGTAAGGCAGTGGTGTGGCTCCCATTTTCCCCCTTCCATCATTTTATGCTGCTGGCTTTTAATATTTACTCTTTATTCATGTTTGTGGGGGTTTTATTGCATTTTTTCAATGTGGGACTGCCATGCATGGTTAGGGCCTCATCCATGGTTTGGATTACACAGTTATGAGGGGGAGTCAGTAACCAGTCGGTCCTACATAACAACATGGCATTTTAAAGCCTTTCACATTTCCTAATATTGTAGTTATTCTCAGGCCGGTTTCAGCAGGATCTTTGTTGAAATCCATTAAGTCAAACATGATTTAAATAACTTTCTTAGCTCTCTCCACGGCTTTGATTACTTTTGTCACCATAATACTATTCAAAATGTGAGCAATAATGGAAAAAGCAAAATCCTGGAAAGAGAAGCTTAGTAGAAAGGGAAATTGAGGGTAAAGGGCACTGCCTAGATCAGTGATTCTACTTATTAGTAACCACAGGAAACCCAGAAAGTACAAATGTGGCATACATAACTAAGCTGAAGCCTGCCATGAGAGCTGTCTCACTTCAGATCTGGCAGCTCTGAGTCCTGGTTCTGAGCCTACCATGTGACTAAATTCACATATTGAGGGTATGTCAAATAAGATCCCTATCTCTAAAAGAAGAAAGTAATAGGCTGCATCACTGGATACAGAGATAATATTAGGTACAGATATAAGATGCTTTGAGTTCACCAGAAGTTCTTCACAGAATTCTTTGTGTTCTTCTCCTTCTCTGTTGATGTAGGTCTGAAAACAATTTTTTCTGGACCATTTAATTCCCCTGTCAGGGTATGCTTGCAGGTCTGCTAACTCATAAACAGTAAGTCTGATTTATGGTGCATGACATGACCAGTGCAAGATGGAAGAATGAAGTTGAGAGGTTCTTTATATTATACTAGGATTAAAAATCTTGCAGCAGAGTCAACACTGTTCCTCTGCAGTTTTTGTCCTCTCTTGCATTGTTATGTTTAGCTGATGTTTAAACCGCACATAAAGTTGCCTGGAAAATGGATCAAAAGTAGAATACTCATAATAATTTTTTTTTTTTTTTTTTGCATAAGGTTCATGTAGAATTAACAACTATGACAAAATAACACAGCCTTTTGTTTTTTAGGTATAATGAGACCGCTCTTACTGCTGATATTTGGGTCAGTGAATATTGCATTGTTCATACAATGAAAAAATCCCAGAAATTCTTAGTAAACAACCAGTCTGACATCCTGCTTTATACAGATCACAGAATTTAAAGCAAAAATTTCTGTCTCAAGCATCTAGTTTCTCACCGAGTTACAAGGCATTGTCTGGAAAAGATCTGCATATTTTAGCCACCTTCTAATGTCATACTAGAAAATGTCAAGTGCTCAAAAGTACTTAATAAGTAATATTACTGAAGAATTTTTACTTCTTTTTTGAAAAGCTCTGAATTTTAGAAGTCTGAGGTGGACTTAACTTCTGAATAAACTGCAGACAGCTGGCAGAACCAGAAAAACAACATTTCTAAGGTGAATTTGACACTAAATACTAATTTGCTCACTATAGCTCCAATTTACTGTGGGAATATGGAAATTCTTTGCCTGGAGTGCAGAAACCGTGAGAACTAGTCTTGCTTGTGGCACCTTGAAGGTCAATGAGACATGTACCCAAAAAATCATAATTGCTTCTGATAAAAAGAGAATTTTTAAATAGTAAAGTCTAGTGAATAATGGATTTTCGATGCAGAGGGGTGAGGAACCAGATTCACATCAAGATTTGAGGTGGATCTGCTTGTATTTCAGTTATAAACCTACATGAAAATCCTTCTCAAGAATTTTGTAACAGTAAAGAAAACTTAAAATTTGACTAAGATACCACTGATAAAAAAAAATAATCTACTGCTATTACACTGAAGAACATATAGGATTAAGCTGCAGGCAGTGGAAATCCAAATCACTCTTGGCTTCTAATGTACATCTGAGAAAGGATCTGCCCCTCTGCTGAAGCCAGGAGAAGTCTTAGTTAAATCCAACTGAAAAAACTGTGGAGTGCACAGGAGTGTAAAAACAGGAGTGTAAATAAAGCTGACCAGAGAAGTAGAATATCAAATGTGCCAAACTGAAGAGGGAATAATCGTAAAGCACTATGAGTAGAAGCGTCATTAATAGTTCTGATGTTGAGAGAATGAAACAGAGAAGAGAGGTGTTTAAAAAGATGCAGATTGATAATTCCTGAAAACTTGGGGATAAAAAGTGGTATTGTTGCAAAAAGCTAAATACTTTGCCCACACATTTTGGAATTTTGAATGATGTTGTCAAAGGTGAGGAGTTTGAAGAATTAATCTTAAATGCTTAAAATAGATAGGGTGGCAATAATAATAATAATAAATTGAATTGCTAATCTGCAGTGCTGACCAACAGCTTTTTTCTATCTAATGAACATTTCTTTCAGAGAGAATTTAACCATGAACTTCATTTAGCAATGAACTTATTTAGCAATGAATCTCATGGAGAGGCATCTTAATTCAGAAAATATCTCTTATCATATCACTTTCCAGTTTTGATGACTTAATTTCTTCCAGTGAATGAAAAAACTCAGGAGAACCTACAGTCCTATATCCAAGCTATAGCTGTGGGAAGCAGAATAACTTGTTTTTCTTGTATCTTTCTCCTACTGGTATCACATTTGACATTATTGACGGCCAAAGCCTACTTGACTATATTGAACGTCTTGGATTTATGTTTATTTCCAGCTATCATAGAAAGGTAATGGTAAAAACTGTTCTTTATTGTTTCCAACCCAGTTCCAGCTGGACATGAAGATTCCTGTCGTACCTTCAAGCTGTCCTTCCAGCTGATGAAACTGTTTTGCTTACCAGTAATAACATATGATGGACACAAACCAGTGCTACATTTGAGGCATCACCTCAAACCTTGCTTCGACTCATTCCTCCTTCCCATTCCTTTTTTCACATTCTGAGCAGCAATCAAACAGAAAACCACATAAACTGAAATCCCAATTCCTTTCTAATAGTCTTATCTATATGGAGAGCTGCTGGAGTCAGAGAGGGATACGAAGAAATGATCATTAATCAGAACAGAAAATTTCAGCGTTTTCCTTCGGCAACACTCTAGGGATATGTTCCAGGGCTTATTAGGAGTATGAAAAACATCTCCCAATTTTATTTCAATTTTTCTAGAAATGAACTAGAAAAAATGCATAAGAATGTCACTTTATTTTCTATGTGCTTCTCTCTTCTATGTCAATTTAATTCCTATTTATTCCCCACTGCAGATGATCTTGAATCAAAGTACACCTCATCTGTTGCTCTTGAGGTTACTGCTTCATAGTTATTGTATAAGGCTGATATAAACCAAGATGTTATAGATTATATTATCTGGGGAGAAAAAAATGTAGTAGGTTGTTTTAGAGAATATTTGAATATAATAAACAAATCTTGCTAAAAAATTCTAATGACTAAATTCCCAGAATGAAAAACTGGGATCCTATGTCACTTTATGGTTAAACAGATTCCAGATTATTTTTTGATAACTACTGTGTATTTTGTTCAGATATCACAGTTTAACAAAATTGAAAAACACAACATTTTCATCTGGCACCAGATGTTCACTGCTTCTAAAAAATCTCATTTATTCTGCTTATGCAAAAGCCTGTCTCATAAAATATGTATGTCCTTTCAATGTTAACTTGATGTGTACAGTCTCCAGTGAAGGCTTCAAACCAGTTCTGAGTGTTCCTGTGTGCTGGACAGGTTGCTTTCCCAGTAAGGATGGTCACTTGAGAAGGGAATAAGTGACTACAGGACTTTCACAGTGAAATACATCACTAAGCTGAACAGCAGGAGAAAATATAGCTAAGGCAAATGCTTCAGCAGAAGGAACTCCAATTATACTCTCCCAAAGTGATTTTAGAGGTGACCTAAACCATAACTTACAAATAAAATTGGGAGTTTACACAGAATAGCTACTCATTTAATAAAATAAAAGTCTCTCCATTGCTATCAGAAAAAACAAAGCTCTCTGGAGGAACATGACCCTCGGGGAACAAGAGCTCCAGATACAGTAATAGAGCAATCCCTCATTACATCAGCTGAGGACTTGATTCCTGAGTTCTCATGGTGTTTTAGATATTGAGAATCACTTAATTCCATCACAATGGCTCAGCCTTTCCTGTGGGCAGAATGTTACAGCTGAGATGCACAGCTGGTAGATCAAGAAAAGAGAATCATGCCAGTCATGGCATTATATGCCAGTCATGTTGTGGGTGACCAGTGTGCCTCAACAATTTCTTTTGCCAAGTGCTGGGTTTTCCCTGACAACTGTGCCCTCACACAGAAATAGTATTATAGCACATCATATATTTCTCAAGTGAACATGAGATTCCTCTGACCCTAGAAAACATTTCACAAATGTTGCCACACAGCCATAAACTATACTTTGGACTTGATCTGCTTGTAAGAGAAAAAGGATTTTTTTATATCCAGAAGTTTATTAAAAGCACTTTGCTTCCTCTCTGGTAGGTCAACTCTGACCCTCCCCTTTACAGGGAGAGGCAGTGTTACCAACTCTCCAAGTCTTTCAGCCACAGAGTTACTCTATGTGTTATGTTGATGGCAGGTGGAAGAGGAATTTTTCTTCTCAGGTAGCAATTTGCTTCTAATTATGAAACATCTTTTTGGATAATTTGATTTCTTTCAGTTTGTCTAGGTTTGCAAACTAATTTCCTTCAGATTTCCAGCACTTTTTGTTACATAGGCAATAAATCATAAAAACTGTTAATTTAATGGGGCTTTGAAGTAAACAACTAATTACAAGGGTGACACATTCTGCAGAGATAGAATTTGGGACAGACTTTGTGTGAATGTAGAGCTAGAATTTATATTAGGATTTATCTAAGGTAAATTTTCATTGCATGATTACCCATTTTTATAGAATCATAGAACGTGCTGAGCTGGAAAGGACCCATCAGTATCATTGAGTCCAATTCAGCATCGTGATGCAAAAGCCTGACCTTGCCTATAATTATATCAGTGAAATTTAACCCAAGATAAATTATTCAGTGTTCTGTGGTCTTCCAATATCCAACTGTTTCAAGGCTTGGAATTGCCCATCCCACTATTCACACAGTTTTTTTGCAGCTTTAGCAGCAGGCTGGTTTTAAACACCCTTTCCTTACCTGGAATTTATTCCATTTAAGCTCCTCCATTTCACACTCTCCAGGTCACCTCACCTAAATGATACTGGATGCCATAACATCACCATAACAGTGATCCCAAAGGATTTAATCAGATTACAGAAAAGAAATATGAATTGGGGAACGACATCAGATGGAGGACCAGTATGGAGGTATCAGACAGCGCTGAGAAACAGGATCTGCTGGGTTGCTGGCCAGAGTTGGGCACATGTGAAAAGTTTTAAGGTGAGCTTAACTACAGCATCTGCCAGACATACATTCTGTTTTGTACAGCAAAAGAGATTAATTTTCTTGTTATCTATTCTCCTAATTATTCCAGTTCATTCAGCAAACCCCACATTTAAGGATCTCTTGGAGATTAATAAGAGTGTGCTCTGTGAAATACTAGCTCTGGCCTGGGGGTACCATAGCTATATTACCATCAAGTTCCACCAGGGCTCGTTATTTTCTTAACAGTCCAATTTATTCTGGGCACAGCACAACTCTGCTTTTACTCCTGCTTTTAGCTCCATGACTAACTTGGCTGTCTTTCAGCATTACTGGACAGCAAAGTGCAAACAGACCTTAAGCTCTTTCCTCATTCTGCTGCCTTGCTAATAAGATGTGTGAGCAGAGAAATCCACATTTTCCTTCTCTCACAACTCCTCCTTCACTGCAGAAAAATGATTCTATGGGTTTCTCTTAATGTGTCTCCACCTTCTCCACTTCCCTTCATCTGCTGAACTCTGCATTGTGCTCACTCTGTGTGCAGAGCAGACCATCACAGCTTGAGAAACATCACAGATCATTCCTGGGCACAGAATAAGGAAGCCATAATGAGGCAGGATGGAATGAATGCAATAGGTGGAAATGCTTCAGGCGGACAGATATCAAAGAATAATTTAACTGCTCCAAATTACCTCCATTTGTAGCCAATTCCATTGCACTGAACATACTGGGCCCATTAGGAAACAGGTGTCATTAGACTAGAATTTAGCCTTTGTCAATACTGCTTCATTAAGGCAATGCATCACCTTTTGCCTTGACTACCTGTATTTTATATGAATACCTTTCTTCATCACAGAATTCTGTTCTAATTCTTGCATGGTCAACAAGACTACTGTTGACAGACCTCAAATCTCCTTGGCACCTCATTCAGAACCCTTGGACATGGTTTTGTAATCAGCTGAGGTGGAAGCCAGCTCTAACTAAATAAAAGATTAGCTGTTGGCAATTGTCCCTCTAATTTGAAATCTCTTGCTAAATTTCAGTCAGTTGTGCTTTTGTTTTGCTGAGCCTTTCAGCCCTGTTGCTACAATTCTCAGATTATGAGGCAGAGAGAATTTCTTTTGATCTGTTGTGCAAAAGTTAATCTTGAAATTAAAAAAAAAGCAAAAAACAAAAGACAAAAATGGAGTTTTCTTTCTTTTTTTTTTTTTTTCTGGAGCATGGAGAAAACATCTCATAAATATTTTAATTTGTGTCTTCACATGTCAGCAAATTTAGCAGTAGGAAATTTCTCCTCACATGACTGCAGCAATGCAAGGCACCAGCTATGCAAACTCAAAGTCTTGTTTAGATAATTGGCAAAAAGGAGTAGTTACAGAAGCCCCAGCAAATACTTCTTCACTGAAAAGTCAAGAATAACCCAGTTTAAATTCCATATACTTTCTTTCAGAGGGCATCTTCTGAGCTGTTGGCCTCTCAGCGCTCTGTTCAGTTCAGAGGAAAAATGGAGGCAAATACACAAAATGCAGTAGCACTGCAGATGTCAGGGTGATGGCCGCACAATCTCTAGCAATTGTTACCAGAGCTGAGCTCATCTTCAGTCAAATCACAATACCAGCCAGTGTGTGCATCTCTCAGTGTCCCTGCTACCCTGACTGCAGCTTAAATGCATGGCCTTACACCACCTTTTCCACGAGCTAAGCAAACACTTTTCATCTGGCAGCAGGCTCAATATAATGATGTCTGCAGGTCCTGTGACTGCAGAGGTAGCTTGCTGCACCCTCTCACTCACTCCATGGTCACTTGTCTGTATCAAATGGCTTATCTGCACAGTAAATATTTTCAGGAGCAGTGGTTTCTCATTGACTTTCTGCATGAACACCTTTGTAAAGATTGTCTATATATTTGATCTAATTTAAAATTAAATCAGGTTACAGCAATATGGATTGTATTGTATGAATTGTACCAGATCAGCCTAATTTTTAAAAAGGTACTCCTAGCTTAAAAACATTGAAACATAGATTCAGAAACCATTCTTCTTAAAATTCTGCTCAGAAGATGACTGTCATCACTGGTCACCTTCCACTGCTCATCTGTAAAATAAAGGTACATGTTATGTTAGTGAGAAAACTCATACTTTAAAAAATAGCAACTAATTTTTTTTATTAACATAAGTCATGCTAGTAAGAAAAACCTATTCTCCTTATAATAAACTTATTACAAGAACTTTTCTATATCGAAAAAATCGAACAGAGAAATCACACCTTGTTTGCCAATAAGGCTCATACCATAATAAGGATTTTTCTTGTGAGTCTAGTTTGAAAATGAACAGCATGATGTTCCCATGGAACTCTTTTTGCAGAGGAAACATGAAAATACTGTACCTCCCTCATATCATCCTACATAATGTATATATCAGTTTATGTCCTTCTTTTAAGTGACATGAGAGTTTTTGAAGTATAGTCAGCACAGCAATGGGTACAGAGATGTTTGTGCACACTCCTGCCTTGCAGCTGTGAATTACAGGTAAGTGGCTTTTGCTATGATGGACCATTTACAGCTGTTCCTTGTGGTATTAGTAGTTGAGGCTGGATTCCCTACAGAAACCATGATAAACAACAACAAGAAGAAGTCTCAGTAGGACCATCAATGTAATATTTAGGTGAGAGGGAGACTTGAGTGGTGCCATATCCTGGCATATTTTCCAATAGCAAATATTAGGCACAAGAAAATCATTTAATCAAACTGTTTCTGAAGATTAAAAGTTGCTCAAACAGACAAGGGAGGAGTAGAAAACACATGCAAAGACTCAGACTGTTCTTTCTTCATGCCATGCCTCATGATCTGTCCTATGCCCTCAGTGAATCCTTCTTTTCTGGGAGAGGTTTGTGAGTTGTAACAATAAAGTCCTTGGGACTTTGGCACTGTAATTTGCTGCTTGACAGTCACAGGCTTATTATAAAATAAGCTTCTACAAGGTCTCTATGCCTCTACACAACAGGCAGTGAAAGAAAGAGGAGAAGAAATTATGTATGAAACTTAGGAGAAAAAAATTATTTTTCCTTTAAATCATCAGTAAAATAGGTTTTGATGCTGCTCCAGCTAAAATCCGTGGGAGTTTTGTCACTAATATCAACAGGGGCAGAATCAAGCACAGTTTGTTATGGAGATTATTATGCAAAAACAAGAGATGTGAGCAGCAAAACAACTCTATAATCCCTTATGAAAAATCCTTTCCTGTCTCTTGAATGCACTGGCTACTGTTGCCACTTTCCTGCATGAAAAAGAGAAGGGCTAAACATCAGAAAGATGATATTGTTTGTAATCTCTAAAGGATATCATCTGCTTTCAGTAAGACAGATTTGACTGCTCTCCTCAGTTAAGGAAGCTGGATGGTCCCAGAAAGGCTTTGCCTGCAATTATGCTCTTGGCTAAGACAAAGGTAAAACAGCTGAATGCCAAGGCAGATAAACTGTTTCAAAGGGCTGGAGACAAGATCTTCAGGCTCTCACTCACATAGGCAAGTCTGGGGAAGGACTTTATTCATGCTTAAAACGGAAGGATTAGGCTGTAAAAGAATGAAACTACTCCCAGGGGTCAGCAATTGTTTTCCAGTGTTTTTAAGTTAATAATTAAAAAGAAAATTGAGTCCTATTCATTGAATGGCACAGCCAACTTCAAGTCAGTCAGAGTCAGGGGATGTTAGAACCCTTATGATATTTGTCCTTTACAGCAAGGGATTAATAACCTGGAAATAGATGAGCTCTTATAAAACCATTCATGAAATCTGGCCTGTATTATTACACTCATGCTACAGGAAGGGAAAGGAAGGCACAGAGATATAAACAAGGTTTTCAACATTAAGCAATAGGGGATTGACTCTGTTACAGTACCATGGATACCAGAGCATATCTCTGAACATCCAGTCAATCATGTATGAGCAAGAATTGGATGCAGCACACCCTGCTCATTATACATACTTTTGACATATCCAGTGCTCTGAAAGAAAAATCCCAGAGCTAGAGGAAACAAAAGTTGACAAAGTATTTCATTTCAGGAGGAAGGGAAGCTTGGGTTTGTGTATATGTGTACTTCCAAAGGAGTCATCATTATTGTACAGATGAACATGTCATCTTCTTCCTCACAAAGAAAGCCATGAGAACCCTTGAGTTTGATGTGCACCCCTCAAAGTGAGGGTCTTGCACTGATGCCAGTGGAAAGGTTGCTCTGCAATGAGCACACAATACCAAAATAAAGGAAATCATTGTTCAGCTATGAGAGCAGATTTTTGCCATCAGTGTTTTAATCAAGTTGCAAGTGAAGATATATGTCTTATGGCTTTGGCTGTTTCCCATGTCTGTGGCAGATGTTCTGTACAGATTTACAGGGCACTTTGCCATTGCTCTGTCCATTTCTCGCATTTTATATTTCTGTATATAATCTTGATTTCAGTAAAACTTCTGCTGTCTGTATATGATGCTTCTTGCATTCTCAGAAAGAAAATAATAAACTGCAATTTCAAACCAAAAGACAGAGAACAAACAGGAAGATAAATGCTTGCAAGGAAAATAGACCCAACTTTAAAAGGAAAGAAAGAATAATTATAAATGCTCATGTTTGGAAATCAGTAAAACATTCTCTACATTTCTCAATTTTATACAATAATGAAATAAATCTAAGATCAGAAAGCTCTGTAAAACATATGAGAACAAGTACCTAATGTGGAGGAATCCTTGTTACCATTAGTCTTAAAATGGCTATTTTCCCACCATTTTGCAGAAACAGGACATTATTTTAAATTAGGTCTTCCGGACCTAATTAATGGACTTCTTTTTTTTTTCCTTATCACAATGATTATACAGCCCTTTTGAGTTGTTTGTAAATCAAAGAAAAGTGTCTAAGTGTCAGTTAAATCCATTACTTTGTTTTCCAGGTTGAAAGTTGGTGTTTATTGTTCTTCCACCCTCAGGGCTTTCATCTCTAGGGTGTCCCAGTGCTCCACAGTTCCTTCATACTGG